TTCGATTCAAACAATCGCACTTATTGATTCAAACATTGGTTTGTCAGGATCATAACAGTCTTTATTTGAATACAATAAAATTTATTAAATTCAAAGGAAATCTTTTTCTCTGTACGCATATCGTATTTTATATTTACGTTTTCATGCTGATCAATGTTAATTAATGTACGTTGTTTCTATCGAGACGTATAACGTATTGTTATAAATTGTTATATATTATATAAGTAATGTCACAAATCCTTAATACTATATAGTATAGATGACTGTTGTTTTTATACACATTAATTTTTATATTACAATTATAAAACGATGGGGGAGGCGTTATATACAAACTTACCTTTTTAAAAGAAGGATCAAAAAGGCACTAAGAGCGTGTGCTTATCCAAACTATAAACTAAAACTATTTTACGGTAAAACCTAAATATGATAAAAACCTAGATGATACATATTGAAAAAAAATAGTGTAAAAAGTACAATCCAAGTGATATTATCTTTACTAAGTGATACGATACACCTTTTTTTATATTTTCATTGTCTTCCTATTTCAATCTCTCGTCCTAAAAAAATAATAGTAACTTTCAAAAAATAAAACACAAGTGGTATTAGCCTTATTATTTTTAATTAGTTCTAATAATGATACGTATCATTTGTATCTTTATCAAAATAATTAATTAAATTCTATCAAATTAAGAAGTGAAACCCAAAACTATCTTTTTATTATCTTTTTATTTATTTAACTTTAATGATATGTGTAATATCATGTGTATAAAAGATTTAATATCAACAACAGGCGCCAAGTTATTTATTATTCAAAAAGTAAAACACAAGTGGTATTATCCTTATTTTTAATTAGTTCTAATAAATGTTACTTGACATTTTTATATTACAATTATAATAAATTTTCTTCAAAATAAAAATGTTCGGTTCTCGAAAACGCAATTTTCTGTAATCAGCGTTCGCTCAGTTTGGAATAACTGTGCGATATCGCGTGGACGCGAGACGGAATCGTTTCGCCTGATCCCTTCGCAATAGAATCGTGAGAGAGAAGGAGAGAATGGATGGAGCTCCGGAATCGTTCCTCCGGAGATGAGGGAGACTGCCTCCTCCTTATTTACGGCGAAGCGCGATAATAGCATGGATGATGGGGCCTCCGTCCCGAAGCGAGATACCGAACGTAGCCATGGCAACTGCTGCCGTAGCCATATTGGTCCACAGCCAGCTATCGATAATAGGAAAGATAAGAGGCAATCCCTGGGCATCCGGGATATTTTATTGTCAGCAAAATGGCGTCCCAGAGTCTCCCGCTTTATGCCAACTGTCCCGTACGCGGCGAATTCGTCGTGGCGTAGTATGATATTAGACAGTTTGCTAAAACTACGAACTACATCACGAAAAGAAAGTGAAGAATTTAATTATCTCACACCAATGTATCCTTTGAATATGTATTGCTATATATACGTCGCAAGGAGAGGGCAAAGACGAATTAGAAATGTTGTATTGATATCAAGTCTGTTAATATATTTAACATTAACAAATAAATTGAGTAACTTTGAAATACCCTGTATAATAATAATTCCTCTAATAGACGTGCTCGCATGTAGATATATGTTTATACACATAAAATATTTGCTTAATGATATCAAAATTCGAATTACATTTAATATTTACATTCCATTGCCGATATAATAATCATTATGTTAAGTACAATTCAGCGAAAAATTTGATCTGACAACTTGCCAGTTGAATAAATGCCACTTTATATACGTATAATTAATAAATTTATTTTATTAAATTAATTAAGTCACAATTTATAATTTATATAAATAAAATGTAAAGTTGTTCATCGAAATCGATATTTACAAATAAATCTCTTGAAGCGAAATGGCCCGAAAGGATAGAGAGAATAAAAACTGTAAATTATACAGTATATCAATAATTCGTGAATGGCAGCTGTTTATTAAATCGGATATCTCTTTACGCGAATTTGTTATTTTAAAATCGTTATAGAGATTAAAAACTACAAGTTATATTTACGTATGTTAATTATATGAAGTTGTATTTCATTGCGCCATCAGCTTTCATTTCGTCCTTTTCGTTGTATCAAACTTATTGCATAGTTAAAATACAGTTGTCGATGCTATTTTCGGGATTTTTAATTAATGAAATCATGCAAATATGGAACGGAAGCATCAAACATTGAATTAAGAAACACATATAATTGTTACCGTATTTTGATCTTTATTCAACTACATAATGACATTTGTTACATCAAAGATTTATTAAAAACTTTGCGCTGAGAAAGAGATCATAATAACGGTTTTTTACTGCATGTATGTTATTATTTGCGTACAAAAGTGAATAAAGTTAAACAAAGGAATTAATAGAATTGTTTCCTGTCTTGCTTTGTCACATCTCTAAAACAGCTTAGATTATTCATTTCCTCAAAGATAGTTTCATCGCGCAATAATATGATATTAATGATAACGCTATTATTATATGTACAATTTGTGGCAAAGTATAGAAGTGTGAAACAATTGAAAATTACACGCTGTTGAAAAAGAAACTCTCTCTCTCATCATCTTTCAGAAGGAGAATATTAAGTGCCAGATCAGTAGTCTTTGTATAATTATTTGATACGATTACTTCGATATGCAATAAAATATATATTTAAAGTAAAAATACAAAATAAAATTATACTAAAAAATAATATTAAGGGACTCTTTTGTCCATTTCTCGCAATAATGTTTATGTTTCTAAACAAAACTTAATATTTAAAAGTCATGCTTATGTTCTCAAGGAGCAATCATGATTGTATAATGTAGAGTTATAAGCATGTCATTGCAAACAGATATTGTTTGTCGTCGTAAATCTTCATAAAGTTTAAAGTTGAAAGCTGACGATGAATAGCCCCGCCCTTCCCTACATTCTTATTCATTTGTTTTTTGTCAGCGAATCAAGATTCCTTACTTTATCGTCGATAATACAAAAAGACGAAAATACAAATATAAAAAAAGACAAAATACGTAATATGAAATATAAATACAAAAAAAAAAGATGAAATACAATTGATAAAAAAATCGATATATAAAGGCTTAAAAAATGAATAAACGTAATAAAATATTTATACGTGTATAAAATAAAAGTACAAATACGTAATTGTACTAAAAATATAATACTTGATAATATTAATATTATATTTTTGTTCGTTTATTTTTTAACACCTTGCCGAAATCATCAAAATTCACTATTATCAATTTCGATATTATGAAATAATAAAAGAATAAATGATTAAATAAATTTTAATTTAAATAAAAGTATTTATTAATAATACT